ACTTACAGAAAGGGCACAGGGGTTTGTTTATTTATTATATATATATATATACACACACACACACACGCACACACATGATTCCAGCACACATGAATTTACTACTTCTCTATATAGAAAATCCACTAGCATTAACTCGTGTCTTCTTAATTATAATAGTGAATGCCCCTAATCATATAAATTAGCTGTTCTAAAAAAAACTTAATCCAACGCACACAAATGATATCTTCTTCCAAAACCATATTCTATAAAGAATTACATAACATCAAACACTCATTAATAATGGATTCCCTAATTACATCATTGATCAACAAATTAAAATGTATATCAATAAATTTAATAATACCACTAACAAAATTGATAATAATAATAGTAACCATGATAATGTACATCAAAATAAACATGATACTATTAACTTATACTATTGTAACCAAATGCATAATAATTACAAACACGAAACAACACTCAAAAACATAATTGGTAGAAATGTTAAACCCATTAATAATAATAAACAAGTTAAGATTATTATATATTATAAAAATTTTTAAAAAAATTGACCTCATAGTCTCCAATACCCCTACAACCACACAACTAAATCCTCTACAAAAGACCAATGTAGTGTATCAATTTACATGCCCGTTCAGAGATTGTATCTCTGATATTAATAATAAACCCACTACATATATTGGTTTTACTACAACCACACTCTCCTGTAGACTTACCTGTCACCTTTCTGATCTTAGTTCCAGTAAATGAGATTTCTTAGAAAAACATAGCCATGTATCTAATATTAGTTAGATATTGATAACAATACTCAAACATACACAGTAAAAAGAACCTTAAGATATTGGAGGCCATCTACATTAAAACAAATCAACCCACACTCAACAAAATTACATTCCAAACCAGTCACAGCATATTACAATGCATTTAAATACATGGTTTCATTGATAACATTTCCTTCTCTCACGTGGTCATGTACAACATCATAGTATTATGAATTTACGACCTGTCTGCTATTCTGCAACTTATAGCAAACTTTTATGTAAATATAATAGGATGTCATCTTTGATGGTGAACATCTCTGTTGTAATGTTCATGTAACCGCTCTGATGATGGCTCATGTGCTGAAAACTTAGATCGAGGAATAGCATAATAAAAAAAAAAAAATCCAACTGTTGGACAGTTTTTGTCTTTGTCTATATTTCTGAGATGAGGTATTATGTACACTATTTACATTATTCGGACTATTGTCTTCATCTTTGTCGCTATATTTATTACAATGTTTCGGAAGTAGATCAGGGAGTACAAAGGCCGAAACTTAATAAATATGGCAACAAAGATGAGGACAATAGTCCAAATAATGTAAATAGTTTTTGTCTTTATTTTCTCCTGAAACTAAAGCCACTATAAAAAGATTAAAATGGCTCATGATCAAACATAAAAAAAAAAAAAATTGTCTGTTATATCTTGCTTATATATATATATATATATATATATATATATATATATATATATATATATATATATATATTCTAAAATTTTACATTCATTACTTGTTTTGTTGGTAATGGTAGGTAATATTTGATGTTTCCTTATAAGGAAATATTTGTCATTCATTGACCAAGTTGCAAGTTCTACTTTCAGTTGAAATTTTTTTTTCTCTTAAAACAATTTTTTAGGGAAAATAGGTTTCTCAAGATCAATAGCTGTTAAAGTGGTTTCTGTTATCTGATATTCTTTATTATGTTCACATTGTTTGAAGAAAGATGGTCTTTGCTCAGATCCACAGGATTCACTCTCTCAGATATTTTCAACCATTGGGAAGTGGTTGTGTTGTTGGTTGCATTTAAATAAATGGTATGTTGTTGTTTTTTTTTTTTTTTTTTTTTTTCTTCTCATATATCTTAGTCATTTTATGGATTCTTTATTTTTAGGTTTGATGAGAAATAAAATCTTGGTCATTATCTTCGTTTTTAACCTGTATAATTACCATAATGAATAATCTACATGCACAAGAAATAGATTTTTTTTTCTTTTTTACATTTTTCTTTTTCTTACATTTTTTTCTTTTACCTTACATTTTTTTCTTTCTTACCTTACATTGTTTTCCTTTTTTTTTTTTTTTTTTTTTTTTACCTTACATTTTTTTCTTTTACCTTTTTTACATTTTTTTCTTTTTTTACATACCCTTTTTTTTTTTTTTTTTTTTTTTTTTTTTTTTTTTTAACCTTACATGTTATTTTTTCTTCAATTTTACCTTAGCCTGTTTTGATTTCCACACACACACAAAAAAAAAAAAACTATTTAATTTCTTGGTGTCAATGCCATTTAATAAAAACAATTAAGATACAAAGCCCACTCAGATTTAACCGTCTATTTCATCTTTATAGGGATTTTCATTTGCCCAGAATGTTGCAGTTTCAAGGATTCAAGAGCAAAACTGCTATTTATACAAGCAAGGTTCCCCATCAGTACTCATAATGAACCATCTTCTCTCATTTTTCATTGATTTTAGGCTACAGAACAATCAAACTTGCATGTCAGTCTGGATTCTCATTAGACTGACAGTGTCCTTTCTTTTATACCTATTAATGTACTTGTGTACATTTTTCCTAAAATAAACAAGTTTTGAGTTGCCATAGAATCTCTTTGGGCATGGTGTAACAACTATCAGACTTGGCAAACTGAGTTCAACTGAAGCTGCTTACATCCACTTCTTCATACTAATGCCCCTGAGATGGGTATTAATCCAATTCTCCCTACGGATTTGGATAAATAGTCTTTAGTCATGCAAGGCAGACAATGATTGCTCAATATGCCCTTTTAAATGGAAGGACCAAGTATAATAATTAGAATCTTGTTAAAAAAAAATAAAAGAAAAAAAAAAGCTTGTAATTTTTATGCTGTACTTGAACAATTCACCATTTTTATCTTTGTCTGGCAACTTCAATTAAGCTGACTCACATGTCGGACATTTATATTAAGAGAGGGGTGGATATTCAGCATTCACAATCTCTATTGCAAACAGGCTTTGAGTCTCTCTGTATAATTAATAGGAATTAAAATCGTTTTAAACAATTTTAATTGTCAGTCTGTAACCTAAATTGTAATTAGAGATTTCTCTGGAGGGCTTTTGCCCTAGTCATAAAATTCTTCTGCAAAACTTATGATGTTATTTCACAATCACAAATCCTTTAACTCCTTATAGTCATAGGGACACTACATTTACTGCAGTGGCAGTAATGTTTCTTGGGCAAGACAGCCTGATAGAGCCCAACCTTCTCCAGACAGGTTTGAATTCAGAGTTTTCTTTATCTTAGGCTGGTTGCCAAACAAAGCTATAGAGCCTAATCTGTCCTGCTATTTACCCATAGTTGGGAGGAAGAGATGGATTTATACTTTTCTCGAGGGTATTAGCACATAAGTGAATGAAATTATATTGGCTGATTCCTCAAACCGAGCCACTATCCATTATTCCACTATACCTCTCAAAATGTTATTTAATGTCCTCAAAAATACAAAGAAAATCCTTCTTTATAGGAAAAGGTACACTGGATGTTACCTTTTTTTATTATGAAAAAAGGAATGAGTGAGGAGGTTGATTGAAAATAAACAATTGTACTGCACTGGTTTATGTTTGCTGGTTCATATTATCAAATGTACTTTATAAGTGGATCTTTTCTACATTACTACCAAAGCTTGCTTGTCTCTGGGTAATTTAAATGCTAATTATACTAATTACCCATCATCTTTGTGCCATGTCCTTTCAGGATGTGGGTGATCATGGCTATACACAACTTCTTGTCCTTCAATGTTCTGCCTACCATTTATATAAGCTTGTTACTAAAACTGAATTTTATCACCATTAGTAAATACTGTATATTGAGAATAAGATATCTTTTTTTTTTTTTTTTTTTGCTGGTGCAAATATTAAACTTTGCCAGAATTTCAATGTTTATTTTAGAATCATGGAACTTGCAAGGAGCTTATTCAGTCATTACAATTAAGAATTAAAATTAAATAAGGAAAACTGGAATTTCCCCAGGTATTTCTAGTATATTATTATTTTTAATTTTTTTTTAACATGTGGATGGGGTTATTATGCTTGTATTTTCTACTAGGTTGTTTCGGATGGAGTCTGGTTGGTTTATGTGTGTGTGTCTAAATGAGTTTTAATGGAGCTATGGCCAGGTAGGTGTAATGTAAGTCGTCTGGGTAGGTATGCATGTAGTAGTGTGACCGATGTAATTATTTATGAGTCTGGTTTGATCAGAAGGGGCATAATAATGTCATCCACATGTAAAAAAAAAATTAAAAAAAAATAAATTAAAAATAATGGAGGCCCTAATAATAAAAAAGAAAAAGCCAACACTCGGTAACATTAACTATGAATATGGCCACAATGTGCTGACCCTATTTGAAAAATAAAACATTCCTATAACTCTATATACATACATAAAACAACCCATAAATTCAGTTAAAAGTAAAAATAAAATCCTCTTTGATAATAGCCAAAAGTATAGCTGAAAGGGCTCAGACATGCAGAACTTTTGGGCAGTTTTTACACACTTTGCATCCAGAAAAGAAAATACTTGTACATACACAAGAAAAATTAAATAAAAAGCTTAATTGCAGTACCTTGTCAGTCGTCTTTAATGAAATATATATATATATATATACACACACACACACACACACACACACACACACACACCTAAAGCTAACTGGTTAAAGTTTTAAACTTAATTTCTCATCACTTTCTGTTTCCATCCTAAATAGCTTAAAGGCATGAATAAGAATAACCTGCTATTGTAACATAATTTACAAAACAAATGGCCTATCATTGTGCTATAATTAATACCATGAAAGTAGTATTAAATATGGTACATTTTGACAGATACATTTTAGTATTTATTTTCAGCATGCCATGGTTTTCTTTAATAAATGTAACTTATTGAAAGCTTTAAATTTTTTAAGATTTTTTTTTTTTTTAATTTCAGGTACGGATTGGACATTCTTATGCACTTTCATCATTTCATTCTTGTTCAATTGGATTGGATTTTTGCTGTCTCTCTGCATCACAAGCACGATATCGGGCCGTTGTGGGGCCCTGTCCGGTCTTGGACTCTCAGTGGTCAAATGGGTGGCCATTGTCAAACACAGCAACTGGGCAAGTGGCTTTGCTGAGGAAGAATCTTGGCTTTGGTGGAGCCTCATGATCTGCGGCTTCTTGCTTTTTATCCGCGGATGTGTCCAATACATTCACATCAAATATGAGTGGAAAAAAATTGCTGGTCGACTCCAGCAGTTCTATTTTTTCTAATTTCCTCAAATCAAAAAGTCATGTTGACAAATACGCAAATAGATAAATCAGTGTACACATAGGAACATGCACTAATATAAATATATATATAAATTTTTAGTAGGTACACGTATTTGAGTTGCTATCCCTGTTCCTTTTGCAGGGTGAGGGGGATTTCATTTAGGACTTCTCTGTCTAGGCTGATAGTTATTAATTTCACTTTTTAAGAAAATCAAAAACCGGGATAGCAACTGAAATGTACCCACTAAAAATAACATTTATAGCAATAAGAAGTAATGTTGGATTAAAAAATACATCTAGAAATATATATATATATATATATATATATAAAAAGATGTCTTTCAAACTGTGCATTGTGAAAGCCTGGGTTTTATAGAGATGCTCTTTCTCATAAAAAAAAAAAAAAAAAAAAATGTAAAGAAATTGTCCTCAACCATCTAAAGATCCAAATCTTTCATTTAGAAAGTTTTGGACTGAAAGTTATTATGTATGTGTCTGTTTATTGTTGGGAATGTGTAGTTGCAAGCAACAGAAATGATTACTTATCTACATAAGGGATGTGTGTGTGTGGTTTTTGCATATAGTTTTTCATTGAGAGTTTAATATAAAAGGACAAAAAATTATTGCCATAAAGAAATTTGATTTCTTTGTTCTTTTAATCAACTACAACAAAATAAAGACTTTTGCTATTTAAGTCAAAATCTTACCCACCAAAAATAATGTGCTTTTTGTAATCTATTTTGCATGCCCCATTTTTAACGAGGATTTTTTTTTATTGGAAATTTTCCTATTTTAATAAACAAAAGAGAAAAAAACAAAAACAAAAAAAAGTGAAAAGAAAAGGACTAGAAAAAAAATCCCTGGACATTTTCATGGGTTGGGCTTTTAATTTTTCCAAACAATAAATCACATTTAATCTGGAAAAATATTTTTCATTTATCAATTTTTTGTTACTTTTTATTTTAATTTTATTATTTATTCTGACAAGTATGATGCACATGTGTTGTATTCCAAAATCATTAACCATCACCCAGGATTTTTTTTTTCCACTTCTACAATAAAAACAATTTCTCGATTTACATATTCAAGTACTGAAATAAGTTCCAAGGCAAACTGGATGAAAATTAAAAAACAAAATTTAAATGAATGCTTTCCCCTCCCCTCACCCCCAACTAACGTGTGTGAGGAAGAGGGAGGTGGAAGTGAACAACCAAATGACTCCCATGCTGAGATTGTCTCTCTCCCGCCTCTATTTCTCTCTCTCGCCTTATTGTCTTTGTTTTTATTTTATTGTTCACCATTCTTGCTTTTTTATAAATTCAGCATTAAGATGTTTCCATATTGTAGTAAAGTTTTTTTTTTTTTTTTTTTTTTTTTTTTTTTTCAAATAAGTGTAATCTTTCATTTACTCCAATAATAATGTAGCATTCTACACTTTCTATTATTATCAGATACCTCTCTCTCTCTGATTCCATCTACAAAACAACAATAGTTGCCTCTAGTTACGCTTTGAGCATGATGTAGATAGTGAAATGTGAATTTTTTTTTTTTTTTTTTCTTTTCATCTTTTAAACAAAGTAAGATTTCTAAAAGAATTTTATTTTTAAAACATTTTTGCTGTAGAGATATAATAGTGGTAACATTCTTTGAAAATTTTTCCTTCAAAGACTAACAAATATATTTTTGCATAAAACATTTTATACTTGAAAATGAATATAAAATACCCACCTCAGAGTAGAGGCTAATAAGCTAGTCTGACAGACCAATTCACTCGTGTATTAAAATTAATCTTTGCTAGGTGCTCTATTACTATAGCCTTGTGTCAAATTTAAATTGAGTAAATTTTTTAAAATTTTCCAAAAATTTAAGTGTTGATATTTATTGCAGTGCCTTCTCGCATTTTGTATATAATTCCATCCAATTTTTTTTTTTTTTTTTTTTTTTTTTTTTTTTTTTTTTTGGGACATAACAAAGGTTGTAGCTGCTTTTCTTTTTATTTCCTAGATGACAATATATTTTTCCCAAATACTCATTCTTTCTCCATCAAACACCATGAAATATAAATGACAACACTTCCTCCCACTTCTATTGGACATGAGTAGAGGCTTACACCTTGTTTCTTGTCTAGGAAGAGGTTCCTGGTACTGTTTCTCTCTCCGGCCTCTGTATTAGTGCAGCTCTGTTTCTCCCATGATGTGTGCAGTCTGTGGCAACATCTCTTCATTCTGAGGGTACACGGTTGACAGTTCTCTGGTTGCTGTTTCCAACTGGTAGTTAGGAGCCCTAACTCTTGCGTAGCGTCTTGAGCGGCTGCTCTGATCAACAGTTGTATAATACCGGGGTGTTTGTAGTGCCATGTCGCGCATGGAAAGGTGTCCCTGCAGTCACCTCCGGTGGGCAGCCCTAAGGCCACATAATGATGCAGATTTTGCCAACTCCTCTCTGCCCGCGTCACGGTTGAAACTGTCTGTTTCTTTTACTTCGGGCCTTCTCATCTTACAAACAAAATTATCCACTACCCTCATCCTTTCTTCTATCACTCCTATCTGATCTTGCTATTTTCTGTAACCCTTTGTGTCCTAGTGGCTTCCCGCCTTGCTTGGGATGAACGCTTAAAAAAAAAAAAAATTTTTTTTTTTTTTTTTTTTTCCTTAAGACGTCTATCAATGAGATATAGCTTGAGGAAGAAACAGTTTTGTGGTTTTTCCACATTAACACAAGCAGTCTTGGTTGAAATTTGAATTTTCTGAGCAGCCAACCATTATTCAGTGATTAAATATTTCAGCCTGTATGTAAAATGTCATTTTCTGCATCAAGGTGGAATTCTGAAAATTACTGGCATCATCAATAATGGAAAGTCAGGACCACAATATCCTATAAAGTTTGCTGATTGGTTGATACCATAACTCTGAAAATCATCAGAAATATCATTCTAAACTTGCCTGACAATACTCATCTCATTTCCAAGCATAATACAGAATATATACTACCAGAATCTGAGAAGAATACCAAACAGCAAAAATATTGTTTATATTTTACTTTAAATGGAGTGTTTTTCAGTTACACTCAAGGAATCATCATTATGACTTAATTTGTTTTTGTTTTATTTTATTTTTTTTTGTTACAAACTTGGACTCTCATGCCCGCCAAAAAAAAAAAAATGTATAAATGGGTTTTTTATTGACATTTATTATTTTAACTATCTTCACTCCCTGGCAATGTTTGCTTTAAAAAGCAATGATTAGAATTGTAATAAAACCTAAACATATTTTTTTTTTTTTTTTGTGTGTTGTGAATTTACAACAAAAATATTAAACACTTTATTAAAATAATTTATTTACATTCTAAAAGCTAATACAATTAAAACTGAGACAATGTAATATTTATCATTTACCAATTTATAAAGAAATATGAAAACAAATTTTTTATTCATAAATTTATAAACATTTACTAAATTAAAATATGTGAACCAATTATAATGAAATCCTATTTTATAAAGTTCAAATCAATTGGCAAATAGCCAATGTTTTGCCAATAATTAGATGATCACAAATAAATAGTGTTGTTGTCAATTCTCAAGAACAAAATGTATAAATTTACTTTTATTATGTTTGTTTTTTACAATTCTAATCATCACTTTTTAAAACAAACACTGCTGCAGAGTGAAGGTAATTAAAATAATAGCAGTGTCAATGGCAACAAAAAAAACATCCTTCTGACACTATTTACTATTTTGGAGGAGGGGGACAAATGTTCAAGTTTGCCATTTTTTATTTCTCTTATTTGTTTCTTTAATAACAAAATTCTGATGTCATCCAAAGGCAGACCATGAAAAAGAAAAGATCTAAAATGAAGTCCTTTAATAAATTTCAAATTACTTTCAAACACATAATTCCCTGTTGTCATTGTCCTTTTTTTTTTTTTTTTTTTTTTTTTAAATTTGAGTAACTTTGGATATTTATCTGTATCCAGGTTACTTAATTTTTCTGCAAGAATTAGTACTGAAATTATTTAAATAGTTGCTTAAATTTTTTTTATGTAGCAAAACTAAATTGAATTTTTGGAGACAGTGTAAAATAGCATATTTAGTAACTCTTTTTGTTTAATTGATTTATTTTCTTTATTTGATATAGTTTCTTTAGGCCATGCTGATATCAGTGCTAGTACTGATTTTTGTCAAAACAAATTTATAATTCTTGCAACAGGAACTGTTTGTTGTCTAAACAAATCTAACATTATCAATGAAAAATAAATTTAATTCAAAATTGTTTAAAAATCAACTACAATTTATTGGAGTCAAATTTATCAAAAACAAAAAGAAAAAAATTGTAACTTGAGATTAACTTTCAGAAGCATAACTAATAGTGGAGAAACTTGTTTAAGATCTTAATTTTCCAGGTAAATATGTAATAAAGTCACTAACTTGCCACTTAGACAACACCAATTCTCTAGTTTTTATTTACATTAAATAATATTAAAATCAATCACTACTTTAATATTTCTATTGATTTTCTGTTCCACCCACTAAAGAATGAGATGATTTAAAATTTTTCATGATTAATTTTTATTTTTACAGTTTACCAACCACTTGTATGTTATTTAAAGCCAAAACACATTTTGAATTGTAAAAGTAATTTTTTGCAGTGAATATTGCATCAACAATTTCTGGAGATAACTTTTCTAGATACAAGTCCTACTATTTAACCCATAGCTAAAGGAAGAGGAGATGGATTCCTTCTTTTTCCTAAGGGTATTTGCTACTGGAATTCGAATTTGGTTGTCTGATTTCTTATTCCAAGCCACTAACTGCTACACATCCGCTTTTGCTAAAGGGATTGATTTATTTTTTTTTATAAATACATCCGTTATATTTAATAAATGATATCCTCATATTGTCTCCTTAAATACTTAATTTCTTTAGTTAATTCGAACTTGTCTCACCAATTTCTCATTCTGGGCCACTATCCATTACACCACTTGCACATCTACAAGCTTTTTCA